TTTTAAATTATTGGTTGGTTTTTCTTAAATAATTCTTATTTGAAATAATTTAAAATATAATCAAATACAAGTAAATTTCTATACTCTCAATAATCAAACATAATTTTTAAATAATTTTCTCACATTAGCTAAAAACATGTATTTAGTCCTGTTTGATTCAATAGTTATTCTAGATTACATTTCTTCTCTCGTTTTCATTTCATAAGTTTTATTTGCAAGAAAGTAAACTAAAACAAAATCAATTTTTTTTTTGATAATAAAGTCATGTATTTAGATTACTTTCATTCACTGCAAATTCTATATTCAATTTATTGCCTTGTTTTCATATAATAATTTATAAATTGAAAATCAGAGATTAATGAAATATAGATTAAGTAAATATACAAACATAAACTTTCTTAATAATTCAAGACTAATAACATAATAATAGCTCAATTTAATCTGTAAAGATTCTAGTTTAAGTTTCTTTCTATAATTTCGTTTATTTTAAATTACAAATTAAGAAATTAGTTTCTATCAAATTTAGTATTTCAAGTTTGTTTTGCAAATTGTTTATATAAGAAAAGACATAATTATGAATTGAAAATTTAATAATATTTTGCAATCTAAGATTAATAATAATAGTAACTAGTATTTGTAATGCATATTTTAAAAGTAATTAATTAATTTGGATAGAAATAGTTATATTTTTGTTGATACGTAGGCAACCAAACGTGCACTAGTTAGTTGACATAATAACCGCACGAAACGCCATAAAAGCATTCATCTTCCATTGTCCAATCAGTCGTGTTTGGTGTTTCGTTGCGCGCAGACGTATCGCTCCACAAATTCAAACGTTTAAATTTAAAATATTCCATCATAACGCGTGCATCAACAATCAAATTGTGAGTACATTTTTGCTTCATTTTCAATTTGTAACCAACAATAATTGTGCATTCTAATATCGTTATTGTTGCAATTTTTTCCATTGTTGCCAACTAACAATTAAATTTGATCAATAATATTGCATTCGTTGTTTACCTAATTTTGGTTTGCAGCAATGACGCGTTGCCCTTTCTTTTTATTTACTAATTATATTTTTTTGTTTCTTAATAGATTTGTAAGAATGATTATTTGGTGAGTATTTGATGTATTTGTATAAACAAATTAATTTAACTTTTTTTTTGCAGCTCGAGTTTTCTTTCAGCCCTATATATTTGTGTTGTATATTGAAGGTATTGTTTATAATAATACCAGGTCATTCCATGCGATAACCGTACGTGCGGTTTTGAAAAATATAGCCTCTGGAATGGCAGGACCGCCCGTGTTAAAAACGATCTCGTTTTCCTTGGTTCAGCGAATCGCATTCGCTTATGATCAAGGCACGGCCGGATCTAGGGGTCGCGTTACGCCCCGAATCGTTCATCCCGCGGCAGGTGTCTTCACGAAGAAGTGTTGGCTTCCAGCTAAACCATTGTATTATCCCGTTTGCATACCACCGAAGTGTTGCCTCGTATAGGGCCTCTGCACTCCGAGGTTGCACTTTGATGCTATGCTCAAACTGGAGGAATGGTTTTACAGCAGGAGAACCTTCACTTAGTCTGCATCTTGCTCATCTACCGGCAGTTAGTGTTCCGATTTCGAAATCCCGCGAATTTAACTTCGACGCGTTTAAATAAATTTTGAAAACAAACGACTTCATACACCTTGAAGTCCAACCTAATAGTAGAATCACGAGTCGCGAGTGTTCATTCACAATTCGCGAGTGAATTGTTTTTCCTCGTCTTTGCTAAATCTCGAGTGTTCGCGAGTGCCAACGGTCTCTCTAAATATCTAACATCAAATGATTCGCATTTCTGTGTGATAAATTTTGTTGTTAGGAATTTTCGAGATCCAAAGTGGATGAGGTCTCCCAACGGCGCAGCATTCTGTAAGTATATTCAAGTTGTATCCAATTAGATTTACAATACTAACTCTTGTTTTTTTCTAATTGTTGCAGGATCTCCTTCGGCCTAAAGACAGAATGAAATGGTGGGATGATTTCAGGCCCTACTTGTGAACTTCCATCGATTTGGATAGAAAAAAAGGATGCGAAAGTAGTGAGTGATTTTAAACCACACGCGAAAAGCCCTCCCAAAGTAAATTCATACACAAAATCATCAACTCTCAAATCTTCTAAATTAATTCATTTTTTTCCTAAAATTATCTTATTCCAAATAAATTTATAATTAAGATTACAATTTTAAATTTGATCTACTCTCTTAATTTTAATCAATTTTCTTCATTTTCAATCTTTAAAGTCAATTTAAATTCAAGTTAATTAACTTTTTACACCCTAACCGTTCGTCTCCAATAGATACATTAGTTTAGGCCGCATTAGACTATCTTTGATTTGTAGATGGTTTTTGTTTTTCCTTTTTTTTTTATTTAGTTAACATTGACAATCTATATATTCTAGTCTATATATTTGTTGGATTTAGTTAAGATGATGTGGCTGTCGAATGAATTTTCTTCATTTAAATTCATTATTTGCCATTAAAAAACATGCAAATTGCTGTTAATTAATGACAAGTATTGATTTACTTGGGGTTGTTCTTTTCAAGTCGTATTGTTTTAACAATATTTTTCAAATATTATTATTATTGATTTTTTTTAATAAATATAAAGTTGATTCCTATAATTCAAATAAATTTTCTTATAAATGTTCTAGGGTTATTCTTTTCAAGTCGTATTGTTTTAACAACATTTTTCAAATATTATTATTATTGATTAATATTCAAATAATTTTTCTTATAAATCTTCTAATAGACATCTACAAAGTCAATGATGGTGTAGTGTCGCCTCGCGATTTATGAGCATGAGTAGTTAGTGGCAGATCTAACGTATTTGCCGGCTTTATTTGCATGCCCTTTTTGCTTTCAGCTGGATCTAACGTATCCACCGTGCCCGAAAACCACTCGAAAGTCGTGCAAAAAGAATATCTCCTAAGAGTTGTATTAATGCAACAAGTGGAGTCTCTTGCTGTACGATCGTAGATTTGCTTTAAACAGAGGATGTTGCATTTCCCTCGTCAATCCCCCTTAAAGCTTATCTTAAGGGTAGCTTATTTTAGATTAACTTTATCCCCGAGGATCGTGAATTGGTTGCACACTTTCACGATCCACCTGCCCTCCGTGCATTCAATTCAATTCAACAACACAATTTCTTATTAACTTAATTGTAGGTTTTGTAGAAGTCTTTGATACTAGATTGGTATTTGGCTCCCTTCTCTCCGCCCGTCCGCCGCGCGTCCCCCCTTAACTGTCACCACGACTGTTTTGGGGGTACCGGTAATTCCGTAGACTAGTCAGTTTACTGACAGGGTCTCTACCGGTCCTTTTACCTTCCCATACATCCTCCAGCCTTTTACCAATCGAATATCTTCGATTTCTCTTCGCTCGGGCGAAGTTCAATCATTAATATAACATTCCCTGCTTAAGATTTGTCATTTAATTTATCTCCAAAACGTATTTGGAGTATTTGATTTTCTCTTTTCGAGTGGTTTTCCATCAACTAATCCATGTCTGTGGTGATCTAACGTATCTCCACGTGTTTCTCTTTCAGCAGATAAAGTTTGCCTCTGGACTGTTGCGCTCGTCCTGTTCTCTTATTGCTGTGAGGGTTCAGGTCTTGCTGCTGGGTCGGGCACTCTAGAGGTGAACCAAACTATCAAATTTACACAGCAAAAAAACATATTTTAATTCGCCTACAAAAACCATAGATTATACTAATTATTTTATTAGTCTAGTCCACTTACCAGGGATTTAATTAGTGTAGTAAAGTGCAATTTACTATAGTCTTTTAGATCCCTCTCGTATTTTCGATGATTTTTGTTCATCTTAATACGAAACCATAGATTTATATAATCGTGTACTTTCACGATTGACCGTAGATTTATTATATTTACGCTACCATAAAATTAACATTAATTATAATTTTATAATTATAATTTATTTTCGATGACTTCGATCATCTTAACCATACGGAACCATAGAGTTATAAAAGGTGTCCCAAAATTAACGCAAGATTTGAATTAAATAGAAAACACAGTTTTTACTCTTCAGATTGTGATTTTTTTTGAGTTGTTGCACAAATTCAAATCTTGCGTTAATTTTGGGACCCCAAATCATGGATTTTCATGATTAACCATAGTCTTTTGCGCACTACCTATAAATTAACTTTGATTATAGAGAAGAGTTTGAACGTTCTCTTCTACAGTTAATGTAAATCATCATAATTGTTATTATTGTTAATATTCTTTTGCAGGTGTATTAATCTCAGTTGTTGTAATTATTTACAGATTTGAATAATGTATAATAATTTCTAGATTTAGCTTTGTATATTGCAAATTGTTAAGGGTATTCCTGTTAGGACACTGCATTTCCTTGTTTCCTTTTACCTACAATTTTCCTTGATTCCGGGATGTGTTGTCACGCGTTTGTTCAACCCGTTCCACGGTGTAGAACTACGATTTCCACGTGGCCACATCTTCGGGTGCAAAGGTTAACTCGTCTTCTTTTTCTATTCACTAAGAAGAGGAAGACGGGTACCAGGCATCACCTTAAGCGAAATTTACAGCCTCTGAGTCGATGCAGGACCGTTTACGTTACCTTCACGTGGTGCACCCGTTCATTCTCCAATCTGTTAAATATCACTTTTTTTTAATATATCTTAATTGTGATATAATAAACAGCTTTGAGTATAACTGAACACGTAACGGATCTAGGGGATTTCATAATCCCTGAATCCTATCATAGTTAACTAATGAGTATACCTTTAACAATTCAATATACTAATGATTATCATTATTAAAATTCAATCAGGATCTGAAAATGTAACGTAATCTTTCTATTTAAGTGTAAATTCGCAATATTGCCTTCAATCTTAATCACAGTGTGCATAGAGTTGCCTATATCTAGTTTCTTGGTTTGCTAAATCGTAAAGTGTGCAGTTTCAATTTCTTCATTTTGGCATAAATCAAATAGTGTTTCGTATCTGGCTTGTATTTTTCTTTTTTCGTAATGCATACTTATGTATAAAATTACTAAGAATATAATAATCTCTTAAAGTTTAAATATTTTCATAGAAAACAACGAAAGGTAAATAAATATGTAATAGTTTCGGGTTCTTAGATGGACTTGATGATTGCTTCCTTGAGAGAAGGTCCCATGGTCTTTCTGGCCTCCTTGCTGCAACTATCGGAGCGTGGACGAGGCGCAATCGCGAACTCGAAGGTCTCCTTGACCTCCTTGAAGATGCCGTTCAGCGCGTACATGACCTCGTCCACATTCTGCTTGCTGAAGACCATCGGCGGTTTCATCTTCAGGACGTTACCATCCGGTCCGTCAGTGCTGATCAGGATGTGCTCCTCCTTCATCCTGAAAGGTAATAATAATTAATATAGAGTGAATTAATTTGCTTGTTAATATTTAATTCTATTTGATTAGGTTTACCTGCAACTGACGTAGCTGGCGATCTCCTTCGATGGTTCTCTAGTGGATCTGTCCTTGACTATTTCGATACCGGTGAAGAGGCCGACTCCTCGAACGTCGCCGATGAACTCAAACTTCTTCGCCAAAATCTGGGAACATTCCAACAGGTATTCGCCTACGACGAGCGCGTTTTCTCGCAGGTTTTCCTTTTCGATTACGTCGAAGACCGCGTTTGCTATGGCGCAAGAGACCGGGTTTCCTCCGTACTGTAAAGTAAATTGAAATTAGTTTACGGTTTTATTAAACTATTTTTGCGCTTACCGTGTTGAAGTATTCGACTCCGGTCTTCTCGAAGCTCTCGGCGATTGCTCTCGTGGTAATTACCGCAGCAACCGGATGGCCGTTGCCCATCGGTTTGCCGACGGTGACGATGTCCGGGACGACGTCCTGCATCTGGAAAGACCACCAGTGCTTTCCCACCCTTCCGAAGCCTACCTGGACTTCGTCCGCGATGCAAACACCTCCCGCTTTGCGAACGTGCGCGTACACCTCCTGCAGGTATCCTTGCGGAAGGATGATCTGCCCGCCGCAGCTGAGCATGCTTTCCGCGATGTAAGCGCACACGCCGCGTCCTTTCTCCTCTATTCCATTGCAGATCTCCTTCACCTCTTGCGCGTACATGTGTCCCAAATCCTCCCTCCTGTACTCGCTGTCGCGGAACTTTCCGCGATAGTAATCGGGGGATGAAGCCTTCAAAAAGAAAACCCCCAATAAGTAAAACGTTTCATTCGTCTTGCATGCATGCATTCGGTACTCACCAGATGCACGTGCTCTTTTTGGCCGACGCCTCCGGGCAGATTGAATTTGTAGTGCGATATATCAATCAGGGAAGTCAAGTGACCGTGGTAAGCGCTAAAAAAATAGAGCACTGAGCACTCTGGTAAACCCACACAAGTTTGCCCCCCAATAAAAGATGAATGAGACGAAAAGAGAGAAAGAGGAAAAAAATGCAAAAAAAGACATGTTGTTCTTCGTTCGGAAACAAATCGGATCCATCCGAGGCTGTTGTCAACTCGTGGACATCTTGCAACGCAAAAAGGGTAAGAAACAAAAATGGTTAAACAAAAATGAAAACGATGTTGGTGTTAATGGTCCATTTGCTTTTTTTTTTTTGCAGCGCGCGAGATCAAAGTTTTGGCCCTTCAGAGGAGCGTCCGCTGCTGTAGGAGAAGAAGTGTTTAATAAAGCCCGATCCATGGCTTCTCTCTTTTTCTCGACGTGAGCTTATAAACGGCTGAAAAAACAAAAATGAAAACAAACGCATTAGAAATGGTTGAGCTATGCACGGACACCTAGGATACAAAGACGAATGTAAGAAATGGTATATATTATTATTATTTTTTTTATCCGCAGCTTAACTTAACGCAATTGTGATCGTTTTTAGAGACTTACTGCTCAAGGGTGATGACATCCTTGTTTCCGGTATGGATCTGGGAGAGGCGCAGCGCGAGATCGTTCGCCTCCGAACCGGAATTGACGAAATAGCAGACGGATAACTCCTCGGGCATGGTGTCCACCAGGCGTTTAGCGCACAGCACTATATTGTCGTGCAAGAAACGGTTGTTGGTGCTCAGCGTGGCCATCTGCTCGCATCCAGCCTTCACCACGTCCGGATGACAATGTCCGACTGCAAAACGTAAGTTCAAATTCGTTAATTTCAAAAAATTGTTATTTTTAAATGAACTTCAATTGCATCCTCTTAATACAAACATATTTATGCAATTGTTATGCTATGGGATAACATCAAAAGATTTTTTTTTGTCGTGCGTTCGCAAAGATCTATTTATAAGTTTTGTTTATAAATAAAATGGTAATGGAATTTTGGGAGACGATAGAGTTACCGTGAGCGACGTTATTGATGCAATCCAAGTACGCCTCGTCCTTGTCATCGTAAAGGTATTGACCTTTTCCTACAAGGATTTTCAGCGGGTCCTTGCGGTAGAACAGCTGACAGGATTTGCTAAAGAAATAGATTAGATTAAACACGAATGTCCTGAAATGTATCTGCTAACTACACTACTTACCCAATATGTTTTTCGCGGAGAGCGATCGTCTCGTTTTTCGGGAGAACCTCCATAACTCTTTCCGATACTCTTTTTTTTTTGTATTACTGGAAGAGGACTCGGTGTGCTGCTTTTGCTACTGTAGCAAAGTTTTTGACGGAAGCGGCAGCTAAAAGTCGATATATATATACGTCGCGAACGTTGGGGGCGTGCGCGAACCAACGCGCACTTGATCATCTCTCTCTCATCCTTAGCGCAAAAATTAATTGGGTGACAATTATGCTCTGACGCAAATGGACACGATTCTATTTCGTGTGTGTTTGTATATCATCATCCTCTGGCAGATTAGGACGGATGGACTTGGATTGCGCTTTCTTTTTTGTTGCTATTATTAGTCCGGATTTATCTGCAATTCGGTGTCAATAAACTAGTTGTGAAAACATTACGAAAAAGATGCGCACAATTTTTGCACGAAATCGATTACAGGCATATATATTTTAAGAACAAGTTTACAAACAGTCAATTTCCAAGTTGCAAACAGATCTTCGCGATTTACGTCACTTCGTCGCACTTAAATGCATCGTTGTATATATTAAATCACATAATCAATTGACAATCATTGATTTTTATACAACACAAATTGTATATATTTGAATATAAAGTTAATTATTTAATTAAATTGAAAGCGGCAATAATAAATAATTTCAATTTACTTTAGAATTAATTTCAATTTGTTTAACGAAATAAACAAGTTTTCGAAATACATTTATCTGCGACTTAATAGTAATTCGGGATATTTGCTTGCACTACTTTGTAATTAATAATACAGTTCAAACAAACTGAAATAAAATGTGCACGAGTTTAAAAAAATGTGCGCGATATGATTTAGGTCAGCAAATATTGTTTCCAAATTAGCCTCCAGACCTGTTTCGCAACTTTGCTTTAATTGTAAAAAAAAAATTAGAGTACATAATAAACACTTTGATGTATGGCAATTAATGAGCTCGTGCATTAACGATTGTGTGAAATGAGTCCGAGTTACGTCAGCAGCGAGGATGAGGACTGCTGATGGTCGCTCTGTTATCTGTATACATTTGCTCCGTGGTGTAGATAAGATGGCTTTAAGACCCAGATTTCACGACTGTAACAAATAAGTGTGTCGCAATTCGTACACTCGTTGCACGTGAGGATGGATGGTCGCGGTCGCACGTTGCACTCGCGTGCAGCCGTTGATCCTTAAAACGTATGTGGATAAACAGTTTAAATAGCAGCAGGATAGAGGGACATGTGTTCATTAGATGATTGAGAATCATCATCTCTCTCTGTCTCTATTGGTCTTAACATGGAGGCTCGTCAATTCTAATTTGTTTTCTCATTAACTTATCGAACAAAATTTAATTATAAATCATGACTCGAATAACGAACGGCTCAAGAAAGAATGCTGTAGGCCGTGTTATTTTAAACTTTCTTAGATTATAAAGTATAAATGCAGGAATGTATTGTTAAAACTTCAACAAACTTGGAACAATAGAATCGTTATTGATTGTTTATGAAACGTGATCGATTTGTGCCGGTAATTAAAATTAAATGAATTTTCATGTTTCTGTTCTGTTGCAAATTTAAAATTCTTTATTTATTAATCTAACAATAGCTTTATTTTTTTTTAAAAATAAGATTTGTTAAAATACCTTACCGGAATTGTTTTTAACTTTTGCAGGTTACGAAGACGGTGGATTCAATTTAACGAGGTACGGTGCATCGTGCAGTAACTTCTTCTCATTTATTGAATCTTTAAGCCAATCGATTGTTACGTGCTTGGCGCTCTTTGGATGCGAACTATTTTGTTCGCTAACCGATCGCACGTCGTGTAAAATGTAATTTGCTTGATCGAGCTTGTTTTCTTGCAGGATCTGCCCACCGTAAGCGACGAACGTCCTCATCAATAATTTGAATCCGTCCGTCAAATTATTGTTGTCCAGATACAAATTGACCGAACGGAAGAAATCCGGTAACGGTTTTTCAATTTTAACTGTCTTCTTTGGAGTTTCGCTGACGCTGGGTGTATTTTCGTCATCAATTTTTCGCTTCTTGGGCGATTTTTCTTTTGGTTCGTTTATCTTTGAAGAATCCTCTTCGGAGTTGCTAGATGAATCATAGTCAATTGGAGGAGTGGATATGCGTTTGTTGGTCGTTTTGACTTGAAGGCATTCCAGTTCTTTGTCGAAGAGGGAACCGTCGAAATTGTGTTTGGACGTTTTGTATAAATCGCAGAGCTCTTTCAGCGAGGTGGCAGATTCCCAATTTTTATCGTTCCTAATTTTGGTGACTCGCGGGAATCGTATGGAAATGCCGTTGGCGGTGTGCACGCCGTGCTGTTGCGAGAACTCGGCCCCGGTGATCTCCCAAATCGGTTGCTTCTTCGGGTCTTTCGCCACGAAATCGGGCACCATAGTTTTCGTGCATTTCAACCAATTGGGTACCTTATCCACGTTACCGCTTATTTTAACCATCTCCAATTCGTTTTGCAGCCGTTCCAAAGTCTTATCGTCGTGCCCCGTGTGCACTTTGGTAACCGTGCGGAAGTCCTTGCTACATGGATCGTAGACGCCCATGAGGAAGACGGACATGAGTCCTCCATTCCTGCCACTTCCGAACCACGCGCCCAACACTATGAGATCGACGGCATCGGCCATCGCTCCATCAAACAGGTAATCTTTCTTCACCTTCAGCCAATGCCTCTTTCCCGGCTCGTATTTACTTTCGATATCTTTCAGCACCAAACCCTCCAATCCCATCTTCAGCACGTCCGTAATCATCGAGGCCAGATCCGCCGGCACGTGGATCTCCTTCATCTCGGAGAACTTTATGACATTCGGAATTTCTGTCATGTGTTTCCGGAGAACGCGGCGCCGTTCCCTCAACGGTTTACCAGTCAAATCTTCACCGTTGAAGTAGATGCAATCGAAGACGAACAGGCAAACCGATGCATCTTTCAAATCGTTCTTTTTATGTACGCCCAACGTGCCGAACGGTAACGGCTTCCCCGTCACGTTATCGACCATAAGAACCTCGCAATCTAAAATCATATCCTCGCCCAAAGGAAACGCGTTCGGGATGTGCGTCTTGAAGTAATTGACTTTATGCTGAAGCACCGGTTTTAAATTCCTGGTGTAATACTTGAAGTCGTTGTCTTTTTTGTGCACCTGCACTCTTTCCCCATCGTACTTGATCTCCGAGTACATACCGTTCGGACACTTCTTCATGGCTTGCTCAATGGACTTACAAGCCATCGCAAGCATCGGCTTCACCGGTTTCAAGATAACGACGCCTGTAGAAACTACAGCTGTCTTCGAAAAGCAATTGTTTATAACCATGGGAATATCTCTGCACGATAGGAACGCGGAATAGGCGTCCGGATGGACGCCCTCCAAAACATGTTTCGGTCCTGCTCCAATCCTCAAATCGTGCTTAATTAATCTCACTATGTATTTCAGATCGCCAGCCGTGCAGTTGGGTATGAACTTCTTGAAATGCTCGTACTGCTCGTGCTCCTTAGTCAGTTTCGAAAGCCCTTCCAAAAACGCATCGACCTGCGATATTGTCAAATTCGTCTTCTTGGGTGGAGACATTGCCACGCTCTTTTTATAGAATTCCTCGATGGTGCAACCGATATCCCCTTGCTCCAAATGCGTCAACATCTCTGCTACGTCGTCGCAAAACAATCGACTGAAGAGCTTCACCAGCTGCTTATTCTGCAGATTGTAAACCCTCGGTTTCACATCCGGCAGCAGCAATCTGCACCAGGTCACAATATTTCCTTTAAACTTAACACCGTCGCTTCCAAATTTAAACATCTTTGCCACCAAAGCGGTCTTTTCTAAATAACTGCTTTCATTCGTTATATCCGCTACCAATCGACGGAACTCCTTAAATTTGTTATCTTTGATAGAATCATCTTCCACTGCTACACTGGTATCAGCAATCGCTGATTCATCGATCGTTGCTACTACGTCAAATTCGACTGGTTTATAGTCGATACCCTGCTTATCAGCAAACACCTTTTCGCATTCCTCCACTTTTTTAACAATCGCCTCTTGATCCTCTTTGCTCAGATTCTCCCAACCTTCCAAATCGTTAGCAGTAATTAAACGTTTCGTATTTGGTCTTTGCTTTAGAAAGACTTCGAACAGACAATCCAAATGATGCCACATCTTCATTATTCCATGTGGCCCAGTAGCATACTTTCCCAATCTCAGCTCATCCTTCTCGCACTTCTGCTTGCATTTCTTGCATGCTGCTCTACCTTGCTTCGCTCTCTCTGCGCAAAAGGGCTTCTCCACTTCATCCATCACCTAAAACATTGAATCTAAATTAACACATTCTTTGAAACTATATTTAAAATTATTAAGGCTACTTTTAAATCTACAAAATTTAAAATTTCAAATATTTAATCCACTGGACAAGTTAATCAACATTTATCACACACATTTAACAGCCACTTGTTAACTCAAAAACAGCTGTTAATACTTCAAACTGACTCAATCATTAAATTTAAATATATAATTTAAATGTATGACTCAGAATAAAACCACTTACGTCTGGACATTCCTTGTAAACTTCTCAATATGTAAAATGTAAATTTCAAAGTCAAGATTTCAGCTGCAAAACGGATGACGACAATTGTAAGTTTACATTTAATTAAAATTGTTCCATGTATTTTATTTTTCAATTATTTGCAGGTTAGAACTTAAATGTCTGAGATGACAGTGGCAGCTTCCGACAGATGTTCATAGCAGTTCGTTTGCGACCGAGCTAAAAAAAGGTTTGAATCTTAACTAGTTTTTGAAAAATTTAAATGTAAATTTTCAAACCAGTTGATTAATTCACAGTAATGCAATTATTTAATTAAATTTATTTATTTTAGCTCTTGATCGAATCTTCGAACGGGAACATATATAAATTATGGAAAATGCAGAAAATTATCGATTCTTATTTGAAAACAGGATTTGAGAGTCCAATTAATTGATTAATCCAAATGATTTATTGTAAGTATTTTTTTTCTTTTCTCCTGCTTCTTCTCTCTAGGAAAAGCCTTTACCATTTAGTCCTATCGACGCATTACGCCAATCGCAATTTTCATGATTTAGTTACCATCTTGACTCCCATGCAACTTTGGTTGCCTAACTTGCAAATTTGAAATTTATTTTTTAGCGCATCTTTTGAACGCAATCATATTCAATTTATTTAATTAATAATTACAATAGATTTTTTTTTTAATATAAATCTAAATAATCCATTTGGCATATTGAATTCATTATGCAATAAGCAACATCAGGCATTAAATCTGACGAGTATTTAGTATTTCAGTATTCGCAAATATTGAGTTATTTTTAGAAACATGTACAGTAGAACCTCGCTTAACGAACACCTCGCATAACGAGCAAAATGAATTGAAAAATGACTCGCTTAACGTTTGAAAATCGCATAACTAGTGACGATTAGAAGAGAAATCCCGGATTGTGCGCCTTCTACATCATTTTTAAAACTTGTGTACGCATATTATATATATATTTGAATATGTTTCTCTATACGAGTAAAAATTCCGAAATTTTGGAACTAATTAAACTCATTAAGTGAGGTTCAACTGTATAAGTATAAAAAGTTTTATTGCGATTTTTATTGATGCAATAGTGTAGTGATTAATTTCCATGATTTAACTATAATTGTTTTTCAGTTTGCAAATTAATTTGCGTAATATGTTTTTTTTTTTGGGGAATTGATGTAATGCAAACATTCTGTTAAAATGCGTTGAATAATGGTGAATTTTATTAATTTGTTTTTTTTCTTTGTTCTAGTATTGTTTTGAAATATAATGATATTTCGAGAATGCGTGACAGACGGCTGGGGTGGCTTAAACGTCAAAGTGTAATTTGAAATTCGTGGGGTTGATCGAGTGAACGACGACGAGTGTCTGTCAGTGGTTGCGCCATTGCGTCTGCCCTACGAAGTGCGAGCAAAAGAG